AAAATATTTAAGACTTTGAGCTAATCTATTTCTCATTTTAAGCATTAACATCGAAGAGACGAATCGATCGCTCTTGCTTGAACGGCATCGGCGACGTCTTTCGCAGCCAAACCCGGAACTCGGCATCAGTCAAGCTCGGCCGCGAACCTCAGAACGCGACTGCTGTTGCTTTGTGCGCCCAAGGAAACGCCGCCTGTTAACGGTGTTGCCACTCCAAAATTACGGCAAAGGCGACGCCGGATGAAAGCGGGAACGGCTCGAGGGCGCGGATGCATTAAACTGGGCGAACTTGCGACAGTCGTGACAAATGGCAACCATTCGTGGGTGCATAGTAACGTCATAATGGAACGCTCTTACTCCTCGTGCGCGCTACCAAAAACCGCCTACCGCATAATTACGGTTCTTTGTAATCTCTCTCGGTGGCCCACATCAGTTATCACGTAACCATCTTCAGCAACTTAAGACACTCGCGGATATGGACAATTGCCCTATGCAATTATATCTTGTTTCGGCCTCTTGTCTGATTGCTGTCGCACATACTCGTTACAAAGTTGTGTCATAAAATGCAAAGCGACTGGACGTTCTTTCGTCGCAACAGAAATTATCTGCGCCGGCAAGCGAACCATTCGCGAAATGGTTGAGAACTGTCGAGAGAACGGATACAGGGATTCTTTTGCTGTTCGGAGCCACCGCGACATGTTGCTACGTTTGGTAGCGTCAGCGTTTTTCCTCCGGGCGGTAACGACGACGAATGACGCGGTAGCGGAGTTAAGCGGCGAGCATGCGGCTTCTATCCCGAGAACGCTAACGTCGCTTCCCGCACGATGCAGTGGTTTCATTTACTCCGCCTCATTTCACGTAACTCGTTTGCATTCGCGATGATAGCACGAATATCGTTCTGACTCTTGTAGGAATATCGCATCCGTATTTATAACCGTATTATCATATTCATATAAACGCATAGTAGTCTCGTGATATTGTTATATTACATAATAAAATATTTATTATTTATGAAATAAAAAGAGATAACGTGCCATCTGTTAATAATTATCGCAATTAAAAGTTTTAGATGCATTTGTTATCATATAATATAGTAATATTAGTGTAATAATATTAGCCATGATAACAATATTAGTCATTGAAATAATTAAATTGATATAATTATAATGTGAGAGAGAAATAATATTTATATCTGTGTGTGTGCTCTAAGAAATATACATAAAAGTTGAATATCTCAAAAATAGAATACAAAAATCTAAAAACGAGATGTAAGATGTTTTAAAAATATTTAAAAGCTGTCTTAAAAGCATTTTACACGTATTTTTTAATAAAATGAAGAATTATTTTAAAACTGTAGATTTTTTTGTATTGTATTTGAAAATAATATTTGAAAATAAAAAGTTTTGCAACCATTAAGAAATTGGAGATTAGAAATTATTATAATAAATCAAAGTAAGAAAAAAAATGCAAGCCAATGTTGATATTGAATAGCAGTGTGTAACATTTATGTATATTATTAATAATTGTTACATTTCGACTACAATTTTGATCATCTTCAATATATCAGCGAAATAATAACAGATTCAAATGTTGAGCACATTACATTAAATTTCTATATGAACAAGGCGCTTTGTAGAACCGAAGATACCGCGAGTATAAAGTCAGAAGTAAACATTTGTGGATAAAAGTTTCAATCGTCTATTATATTTGGTATACAATACATTTTTTTAATATTAAAATTTAAATATTAAACGCACAATAGAATATCTCAATTCCATTTACAAACTACTAAAAAAACTTAAATTTGAATCAATTATAAGAAAATATTTTCATATTTTAATATATCTTTAAAAATAGAAGAGAATGAGATATGTAATATTGCTTTATGTTAAATTATTTCTTTTCTATTCATTATAAACAATAATCATAAACAATAATAGTCGAATCGCATTGCGACGTCCACCCTCGTGGTCGTAGCGACACCGAATGACGCGGTATCGGAGCTTTCGCGGCCTGGAAGAGACGTCAGGGGAATAGAATATCAACTCGGTGAGGGTGTAGGCGTCGCGCGAGTCAGTGGCGCTTCTGTGTTTTGGAGGGGCAGCGTCGCGGCGGCGGAGGCGGAGGTGGTGGCGGTGGCGGCGGCGGCAAAGCAGGGACGGACAGGCGCGAGGCGCCGTACCCGTGCTACCTCAGTCGACGTCAAGCCGTCGCGACGACGCGTGCGTATTCTGTTCTACTTCCGTATCACGGGACTCGCGAAGAGATCGCGTGTTCCGCGCGCGACGTGACTTGTCGAGCGTGTGCCCACCTGTTCGCGTCGACGGACGTGATCACGAAGGGCAGTCCCGGTGCGTTTCATGACAAGTGTGTCCTCCCCTCTTCCGATTGACCTCCCCTTGCTCTAAATAAGTGCTCGCGATTACTCCGAAATCATTCACGCGCGTAGCTGCGAGAATTATTCTAGGATATCGCGAAGAATACTCATTGACCTGCGTCGCGTTGAGGTCTTGATGAAAAGCACAACTGTTCAAATGTCTCGGTCGTTCCACGGTAAATAGAAGAATCGCCGAAGGGTACATAAAGTCTTCTGTGCATAACTGACTTGTGTTATTGTACCTTCATATCATCGTTCAACGAAGAACACGGCTCTGTTCGGGTGATCCATTAGTCAAATTTCTTTTGTGTTCGATTCATTTTCGATTCAACGAAGAGATTGTTATCGAAGACGAACTATCTCTATTGGTTTGTCATTGCGATATCGTTTTATTTGCCCAGTCATCCTTCCTGCGAAGGACACGACGGTGCTCCGATAATCCTGATAGTAATCGAGTAACGTATCGATTGATTCGCAAGATAATCATCGTGGAGGATTAAGAGCAGCTGGAATTCCCATCTAAACGTGATCACATGATTTGTAACGTGCCAATGTACCGTTGATACGTCGTCTAGTGAGAGCTGAAAGGAGAAATTCATCTTGAAAGAAGAAATTCACGAAGGAGGCGACGGTGCTTTGGAAAAGCTCGTTGATTACCAGTGAAAAACAGCTTTGGATTATGACTATTGGGTAGGTAGGCTATTAGCGATTCTATATTGTTTTGAGAGTTACAGTAAACGTGATTGAAGTCGTCTAGTCGATTCGATAAGCGTAATTGCAGACAGCTGTTTGGCTAAACATGTGCAGCGAGAGAAGTGTAAGCGTTTCCGAGTTATTCAGCGTGTCCGAATTCCTACATTCCATATCGTTCTATTAATGTGCGACATGGCTTTTACATCGTGCATTCCCTATGTTCGTCCAACGGTTTCCTACGTGACACGTGACATTTAACAGCGTTTAGCTCACGCTAGCGGTCTAATGTGACTTCAAAGTGGCGTACCGTATATTCGCTCCGTTACACATGAATTTCCAAATTTGCATCAATTGCAAATCATTGAATCTGTAGGAACATTAAGGGTTGGAAGAAGAAAAATCAAAATATTCCTTCTAAATATATATTAACGTACAGTAACACTAACATTATATCAATATTATAAATTCCTGTTCAACAATGTACCTAACTGTTACGTGTGTGTATGTATATTATATTACCTTTACATTGTTGAGTGGGAAATTATAATACTGATGTAATGTACTGAAATTTTGTGATTGAATATGAGCAAACCAGAAAATTTTGATCACATCAATCAGAATTCTGATTATCTCAACTATTAAAAAAATTATAATCGATTTAACCAGAAAATTCGGATTTTTGTCCGTTTTCAACTACAATTCCAATTAATACATCCAGTACACTTTTTCCAGTACACTATTACTTCGTGTTTAGCGGATATCGATTGCTATCATTTTCCTAATTTTCACATCGCAGCCAATCTTTTTTTTTTTTAAACGAAGCGTTTTTCCTACTAGGGAAAATTAGTTGACGGTTAAATTCGACGATATCTCGCCGAACACACGTCTTTTCATTCATGAAAATGTATGTCGCGCGTTGCATGCAGGAAAATTATCGGAGCTGCGTGGCGTCGACAATGCGTTTTGCATCACATTATTGTAGGAAAGTTTGACATAATAAACGAGGAAACGGTTAGCATTCGCGATTAAAAATCGCTGATTATATGCAAATCTTTGTTTACACGAGTGTCATCTTCCCGCGGAAATATTTTGCAACTTTATCGGAATATTTATGGACAATTTATGTTGAAATTGAACGAATGAACGGCTGATCTATTGATTATTAGTGTCCTTGAGCTCGCAAAGTGTGTGGAAAAGGCGCGCGCATTTCGCATGTGTTACTATTATTTCAAGTCTTTAAGTTGTTTGTAAAGGCCCATTCTGTCGAAACGTTGCGTTATTTCTTTTCTTCCTTTATATAATACTTATTAATAGTAAACGTCGCGCAATTGTTCGTGCAAATGTCGACGTTGACCTTCTCTACTTGATACGAGCGTTCGACGAGTTAGTTATTACTCAAAGTCGTATCGATTACGTCGCTGAATCGTTCGCTTCGTTATACGCTACATTAGACCTCGTCACGCGCGGTACACATCGACAATGTTAGAGTTATGAATGCGACGCATTCATGAATCAGGCACGCCGGGCATCGTGATGAACACGCATCTATAAGCCGTTTGTTTCGAAATTGGTATAATTTACATTTCGGTAATCTAATTGCTATGTATATTCCCATAAATATTAGTTTATAAAGATCTGACGTTTAACTGACTCTCTGTTTCTTTCTAATTCAATCTCTATAAAGGCTGGCGTGTGGTAATCAATGAAACATCAGTTAATTTTATAGAAACATTTGTGGCACGGAAATTAAAATGAACAGGTTTTAACAAATCTGTTGCCTTATTAATATATGAAAAACGAAAATGTATTATTAAGAACATTATTTCATTTTAATTTATAATTTTTAATTATTATAATTCTTAAAATCATATTTCGAAAGTTTAATAAATATAGCAAGTGAGCGCCTTTGTTTGTGTTATTACTCATCGTTAGGAGCTACAACAGACTATTAATTAAATATTAAGCACTCCAAGATAATCGCAATACTCAAAGTTTCATAGTGAGATCCTTAGTCACTTATAGACGGTATATATATATATATATATATGTTACGTTGAATTGTATATCTACTGGCTATAGTCACAACACTAATAGAAGTTTATGAGCTTTTTTGTTTAATAAGAAATCAATTATATTCATAAATCTTTATTATTTGATATTATATATTTTAA